AGATAGACATGAATCATAACTACGCCTTCTAGTTTTCTTATTTGCTGATTTATTTTCTCTGAACTTTATTACGGACACTAACGAGGACAACTACATGACGCAAAATTCTCTCTTTCTCTTCAACGGTGTCATTTTGATGAGTCTGCTGTCTGCTAATAATGACATTGAATATGTCATAGAGATCTGAAAAGAGATCAAATGAATGATATTGACAAAGGAGAACGAAGAAAATACACTATTCAAAGCAAATAAAAGATGATCGACTGTTTTGGAAAATTGTTCAATCGGATCGTTATATAATAAACGCATTGGCGCATCACGAGCTTCTTGAAGTTCACTTTCATTTAGTTTTGTCAAACCTAGAACACATGTGATCTATCTTGCAGAATGTTCTTTATCTAAATTATCGATCCATCGTTTAAATTTAAAAAAATATGAACGAGAAATAATAGCTTGATCTTCACTATATACATGACCGACTTGTTGACGAACAATACGGAAATGATACTTGATAATGAAAATGAACATTGCAATATAAATGAATTGAACGAAATAAATAAAGATACTAAAAGTAAGCGGACCAAGAATGGCATCAATATTAAGTCTGAGTAGCGTCTCGAAAAGCATTGTGGTCGTATTTAAGGATAGTTAAACATGATTCCATGTGAGACACGAAGAGCAAATAAAATAAAATAATAATAAAAAAGTTGAATTAAAACTAAAGAAAATCTTTGGCGACATGATTAAGTGTTTTCATCAATAACGACATTCATGAATTTGGATGACAAAATCGAAGAAAGTGCCAGAAAAACAACAAAATCCAAGAACAAAAATGAGAATATCATTGATATAGGTAACCAGCTGCAGATTCACGTATTAATATCCATTCGTTTGATGAAAGATATTTCCAATACGAGATGCTTCGAAAAAAGGCCACAAATAAATACTGATATATTTATCCATGATGATCCGATAATACTCCATTCGATATATGATGAAAATAAGTCTTTCTCAATTTGATTAATGAATGAATTTCGATTGCTGTGAAATATATTATGAATACAATGTAAAGAATTGCACAGATCATATGAATGAGAGACGTGAAACATTGAAAGTGAAAATGAAAATTGATTGATTCGAGACGAGCTGTAGAAAACAATCCTCCTATGGTCAGTAATTTCATGAGTAGTATCATAGATGTAAATTGATCAACATTTGAATTGTATAAACTCATTTGAATAATAACAGCACGAGATTGTCGATCGATCCATGATAATCAATGAAGAATAGTCAGATTCTTCTTGAGATCGACAATACGACCACGAAATTCATATTCATAATCGTCAACAAAATATGTGGTGCGATTGTCAATATAAACATAGGCGTCAAGTTCGTGATTTGAACGAGAAATAAATCAATTTCGAATCAATCATGAATAAGAAAGTGTCGTAGTTTTAGTTAATAACATCCAGTCCAATGAAAACAAATAATGTTCTTCGTCGACTAAGTAAAATCAGGTATACATGCTGGAATTATTTAATCTAATGTCATAATCTGTCAAAATGATAAAATCAATGGGTTATGTTTTTTTAGAAAAATTGAATAGAACTTTCATTGAAGTAATTGTAAATCGAGTTCTGTGAATTCCGAAAATGTTTACGAAGATGATTGGCTAGAGAAGAAAGATTAGCACTTCGATTGGAATAGCTGAAAGCATAGATAATGCATGCGAAGAAAGGACCTACATTTGTAGCTCTCGACGACGTACAAATCACGCATAAGACACTTTTCTTGATTTAAATGATTGGCTGGCGGACCACATCGTTCAGTGACAAGTGATTTAGTCAAAATCGAATGAAGATATTCCCCATGTGAAAATTTTTCCCATTGTAAGCTATATATAAGTGGCTTAGAATAACTTAAGTTATTCTAAGCCACTATATAATTATATACTTAAAACTACTTAGAACATATTTAAGCGCTTATCAGTAATTAAAATATTAGTGAAAGCTCTTCCAAGTGACTTGTGGGAGTTAAAAAAGTCCACATAGAAGTATTTACCAGCTACTTAGAACTCATCTATTGAACAACATCTGATAAGTGCTTAAATATGTTATAAGTACTTTTTAAGCGAAAATACAAGTTTTTTAGGCTACCTTTTTCGCTTAAATTTTCATATAAATAGTAAATATTTTTGAAATGTAATTACAAACTTATTTAGTTCAGAAAGCCAATGGTTTAGTCAATTATCAATTTTCCTCTTGAGAAAACGCTTCTTGTCAGAACTAAAAAGAGCATCTCTACAAAGGTCATATTAGATCTCACTTCAAATTGAATAGTGTATCTTTGATGCTATCAAGTGAAAATAATGTCATAGATCACGGCAACAAATTGCAAATTCTGTTTAAGATGATTCAAGGAAAATGTTCCAGTCATATATCATTCTGTATGACACTATCGCTGTATGAATAGAGTTTCTACAACTGCATCTCAAAAACTACCAAAAACAAATGACTCTTTTTATGCAAGTTTAGAACTTTAAAAGTGGATACTAAAAGTGTTTAAAGAAGCTGTAACGAATAATTAATAAGAACTCTAATTGTCGCAGAGTTTTGCTTCACGAATCAGTCATAGCTTTCGGCAGTTCTTCAGATTTTGTAAGGTATATTCTGAAAATCCTATTTATCATTTAGTCATTTTAGTTGACCTTTACTCAGACAAGCCTCAACAAAGTTTACAAGGCACTTTAGCAGTTTGAACTTTTCCTGGTATAATATTCGATTTAAAAAGCGCATTGAACAGCGAAAGGATTTGACACACAAAAATGTTATATAGTCAATTAGTAGCATTGACTGAAAAAAAACAAAATTGTTTCCATCATTACAGGAACAAAATATTTGATGGATAAATTCTTTTTTCAAGCTTGTTTATATGACTTTCACCGCTGTTTCACAACTACAAATAAATAAAGTTCCCATTTTTTGAGAGTTACTCGAGGGATTGAACTAATCATCATTTTTTTCCGTTAAAAAAGAGTTATTGGTATGGTCGTCTTCTTTTGCCATACCGATGCATATAATCGTCCGTTTAACGAGCTGATTTTCTTAAGCAACCGAGTTTCATCGGCGGATATGTTGCCAGTGGTCGGTTCCGGATCAAGAATGCGGAGTGTAGTCAAATAAAAATATTAATCGATGAAAATAGATGAGAAAGGAAAGGCAACTAAAACAAAATCTCGTAGATGTCACAGGACACCGTTAAAAAAAACAGTCATTTTGTCGATTAAAATATAATGAATAGTTGAATTGACAGACCATCTGACAAAATCGAAGGAAATATCTATTTGATTCTCATGCAGTGCTGCCTAGGACTGTCTGGACTCACAAATAATATCATGTTTTAGTGATATGTTCCACACTAATCATCGAAAGCTGTACATCTGCTCCAGTGCAGTGGTTTAGATTGAATCAGGCTGTTTTCATAATTGAATGCCAGCAAATTTATCATTGTTGACGATCATCGTAATACTTGAGAGTTGTTTCGCATTTTTCTGTATCTGTCGTTGCATTCAATATTGTTTTAGTTACTTATCATATCAGTGGCTTGACCAAAGCAAAAAAAACACTAACTTCAAGTACATATTGTTATTCGTCATGAAAGAGAATGAGATAAAATGGCCTGATAACACTATAATGGATACCATCATGCTCAGAGTTGCACTTTCGGGTGATGTCATACATGTTTGTCTTAACATCTCTGTTTTCATGCACACATACGTAAAATTACTAGGATCGAATGTGTTGTTGCTGATAATAGTCATACTCTATAAATACTATGAGCGATCTCGATATTAGTATGAAGAAAGTTTCGTCGATCACTATCATGACAAAGTCTGCTACGAACGAATTGAATATTCTTATCGTCAATGACAATGAAGATGATCCAGGAGACAAAAAACTCCTGCGAAAATTGGACTGGCATCTTATTCCAACTATGACATTGCTCTATCTGCTGAGTTTTCTCGATCGAGTGAATATTGGTCAGGCGAAACTTGATGGCTTAACAGAGTCGTTGAAGCTGAGCAGTAGCCAATACAACACATGTCTGAGTGTGTTTTTTATTCTCTACGTCGTGCTCGAGATTCCCTCGAATCTAATACTTAAACGACTTCGACCTAGTCGATGGATTCCAATGATCATGGTAGCATGGGGCATCGTGATGACGTTGATGGGTCTGGTAAACTCGTATGGAGGTCTTATTTTGTGTCGCCTGTTTTTGGGTGCTGCAGAATCAGGCCTCTTTCCAGGTATAGTAAAGAAGAACTAGTTAGGACCTATTTATCAGTGATTCGTTCTATCTAGGTGTCAACTTCTATCTCTCGAGTTGGTACAAGAGACGCGAACTCTCGTGGCGTATAAGTATTTTTTTCTCAGCTGCTGCTCTTGCTGGCGCCTTCGGTGGTGTACTCGCCTATGGTATCACTAAAATGGGCGGTGTAGGTGGACAAGAAGGTTGGCGTTGGATATNCTTGATAGTGAAAATTTATTTGAATATTTCTTCTATGAAATCTAGTATCTCATAGTGATTATCTTGTCCTCGCTGCGTCAATTATGATGTGAGAATTCCCATCCTGAACAAATATGTAAAATAATGTCCACACCCAATGAAGATCGAGCGAGCGGCCGTCCGACGGCCGCGTGGTGGTGCGGACGGACCGTCCGTCTGACTTGACGCAGGTGCGGAGCGGTCCGTCCGCTCGCCGAAAAGGCTTTTGGTGTGGTGACCGCCGCCGTCACTATTTTATATTTTACATCATCTTTTCCGCCGTCCGCACCTACGTTTTTAGGTGCGGTGCACGTCTCTGGTATTCGTTGAATAACTCTTATACAGCATCTACTACATCAGAAATCGTCACAATTATTTTACTTGGTTATCTCTTAGAAATATTTGTCTAATCTGGTAAAGATATAAATTTATTTTTATATTTGTACACTCATCGATTACAATTCTTCAATAATAGCCACTTCATGTGTTCGAATATAAAGGGTTTTTCCAGTAGGATTTTCAGATTGTTGTAATGTTGTTGTTCCTATTTGATTGTGAAATTTTTGACGAATAGATGCCGGAACTAAGGCAAGAAATAATTCACGTCGAAAACTCGGTGCTGTCAATGTATAAACAAGAAATGAAATCTAAATGAAACCAAATAGAATTTCGAAATTCGCTTTTCTAACACTTACTGAGTTAAATAAATAAAGAAAAAAATTTGCGCTAAATGTAAGAGCAAATGCTTCAATTGCAATACGTGTGGCTGGTTTACTTGATGGTGGAATATTCTGTGTCAATACATTGTAAATCATCACAGTAACATAAGGCCATGTTGTTGTGATATATAAAGTAATCTGACCTATTAACATTGCTGTAAGTTGTCTGTCTTTACTATGAATTTGAACCTAAGAGAAAACACTTTGAAATGAATTCAAATCGATCTAAACTCCTTACACGGATATTTGCAACTCGAGAAGCATTTTGTCTTAAACTGTAAATTGTTAAACTACCAAATGTCAACATTAATGAAGGTGGTATGATAGCCCATACTGTTAATTTATAAATAACATCAAAAGTAAGGAAATTAATATCGATAATACATAAATTTGAAAGAGCCGATAGTCGATTGTATTTCAAAGGTATATAGAGTGGTAAAAGTGTGCAGATAATAACAGTTATAATAATCATTTTATAAGCTATTCGAACATGACATAAACGTCGTCGATTGGCGTTTCGTGAACAAAGCAAAAGTCGATCGCAACAAGCAAGAAGAAGAAAAGCAACACTAGTATGGCAAAACATTGTAATAAAATATATACGGATTTTACAAAATAAAATCGATCTCGATTGTAAACGATAACCTGACCAATTACCAACTGCATATATAAATGGAGACCAAAATAACACACATAAATTTGCCCAAGAACTAGCATGAAAATAAGTAGCGCAAGAATTTGAACGTAACGATGACCGTGAAAATGTTATTGTATTTAATAACCAACCAATTATACCAACAAAGAAAAGTATTGGTATACATACTTGATTAACAGCCCAACTAGCAGTATTGAATTGAGTAGCAAGCCAATCAGTAGCGGTGTTTGACATCTTTTGTTTATAAGAAAATAGAATCTATGATGAATAGTAAAATCGTCAGTATTTATACTCATATTAAAATAAATGAGATTTTGCTTAGAGAAAATTATAACATGCGTAATAATCCCATATTTGTAACTGATTGAAGACAAAACTATCACAAACAGAACTGTAGGTGTTTCAGTCCCTGAGAAATGATAAAAAAATTATGCTAAATTGAGATCTGTCAAAAGCATTCATTCAATTTCGCAATGTTCTACGCCGTGAAAAAGAGTGTATTCTGTGTTCAGAACATTCTTTATCTAATGGACCAACATATAATCATAAGGTTTAATCTTCTGACAGCCCAAGCATGATTCGTTCTACTATTCTGTTTAGTTTGTTGAAATTACCTTCCTAGCAAGATGACTGAAACATTAACACAATATTATTGCTTAGATTCATAGAGTACAGCACCAATGTCAAAATTGTCTCTTCTTAATGTGTTTATAATAGTTAATTTTTATTTAAATAGAGTATAAACGATTCCATTTCGTTATTACGACAAGTAACGTTCATCGATGTCGGAAGTCAATTCACTGGGCCCTTGACTGGTGGAATGGTGCCAAAGATGTACTTATATTCTTATAAAAAAAACGAATTCTGTACAATCAAGACTGTGAGGAAACTTAATAATATTAGAAATATGTTGCATATTATATAGTATACATATATTCAAACAATTGTCGTAAAATATAAAAAGATATTTTGTCTTTGACTGGATTGGCGCAATAGTAACCTGTTCGATTCTCGAAAACCAGCGTTATGTTCGAGCCTTTCCTCCCTGAAGCACCGTGTTAATATAATTCTGATCTGTTCTGCATGTCTCAAGGTACTTGTTCGTGGATGCTGTATGCATTCTGTTTGTCTAATAAAAGCAAACTTTTTTACTCCCGCAACGAATCGTCCATGAAGCATTTTATCTTTGCTTACAGTTATATATGCATTATGCTTGTGCTTTGCTTTAGTTGCATTTCATTCTTCATACAGTTACTTGTAAAAACAGCAATATATCCCTTCAGACCCGTTTATGGGCATATAGAGCTTTTGGCCATGAAAATGGTCATAAATGTCATAGAAATGGTCACTTGCACCACAGAGATGGTTATGTGTGCTATGGAAATGGTCATTTGTGCCACAGAGATGGTCAACTGTGCCAAGATCACGGTTAAGTCGGCGAACAGATGGACAGACACACAGATAGACACAAGTGAATTACGGTTTCTAGACCCTATCCTTTCAGTCTAGGGAAAATAACAAGCATTTTAACCATGTTTTCTCGTTTTTCTTTATGCCATCTGAAATTCATGATAGATTATTCATTACTATATTTTATGCATTTACTATATATTTTCTTACGCTATCGTAGCTCGAAACACATCTCTCTAACTATGATTCAATAAAAAAAACATTTTTCAATAAAAATATGCTTTTGTACTTGACTAGAGAGTAGTCTACTTAAAAGCTCCTCATGGAATAGCTCTTAGTGGACAACTCCGTTTGCATATGAAGATCTTTATTTAAAACTTTTAACTGAATATGCAGGCTGTTGACTGTTAAGGGCGAAATGCGAGCTTTTCTTTAATTTTTAGAGATGAAGCAATGACTAGATGAGACTTTGCATGTAGCCTACTGCACTTAGCACACTTTTGAATCCGTATCGAAGACCATGCAAAAGTAAAATATCAGCATTTGATGATATCTGCGCGTGTTCTAAGATAAAGATAACTTCGTTCGGTATAGTATCGATCAGTTTCACTAGAAATTCTATAAATCCAATACGAAGTTTTGTCATATCTTTTGAATCGTAATACAAATAACACATCGATCATGACTACGGCTAGCAGTAGCTGTTTTTTTTTTCAGTAGAAAAGTGTATTCCATTGTAAAATTCTATATTGTATAGTTTGCATTGGAGATTTTTAAATAAAAATTAATCATAGCTGATGAATGAATACGATAATGGCAACAAATCGTCGAACTCGCAGAAGAAATATCGTTCACTGTATTTGACCAAGCTTGTCTGGTTGAGAAATTCATTTGATTGATGAATAATTTGATTTTTGGTAGCTTTTTTTATATTTTGCGTTTTTAGAAGTCATAATAGGTTCAATGTTAGACATTCTATACTTTATTAGATAGAGCTCATCGAGTTTTATATTGGCCCATCATTCTTGTCACTTGATCCGCTCTTACAGAGAATCCTGACTTAAGATGTCCTACGTTATAACAATAGTGTCCGCATTATTCATCGGTAAAACATTTACTCATTAATCCTTTGGGGACGGGAAGCACATCCATGTGCTTCGATTCTGATTCCATCAGTACCTAACCTAAGCTAATCTCTGACGATGTTCTAATGGCGAAAATGACGGTATAGATCATGGATTTATTACTTTCGATGCATGGTGATCTAATCGTTTGTGTTGTGTCCTCATTCACCTTCTTTCTTTCTGGGTGTGGGTGAGGGTGACTCAAAGGAAGATCAGCAACCACACCAACACCCTATATTGATTGTAACCTAACAAAGTTTCAGCTATAATTAAAATAGCTCCTATGATTCAGATTGGAATGTTTAGTTGTATCTTAAACTTCGATGTCGAAAAGGAGTGATAAGACAGTATAGGATTTTTGAAAACTCATTTTCCATGAAACTTTGAGTTATTCTTTGCCTAGAGTTACAAACTTATATCTGTTGATGAAAAATATGCGATTGATTTCTATATACATGATGTTCATGTAAAAATCATATAAAAATTACCAAAAAAATCATTTCTAATCAATTTCCTTTGTTTACAAGCGGTAGAATTTTAATCCAATCGTGTTCGCTTAGTATTGATTATAAACGATTTCTTTATGAATATTCAGTCGATTTTATTAAAAACTAATCAACATAATCAATAAAATTTCGATATTTGCTATTAGTTTTTAATTAAAATTGATTAAAAACATGTGGTTTAAATCGATTGAAAATCAATATTTTTCATCGCATAACTATCGAGCCTATATTTTATTTCAACTGCACCTTACATAAAAATCTTCAAACGTATTTTGACTAAAAAGATAGTGAAAGAACTCATTATGATATTTCGATGCAGAAAATCCCTTAAAGGGACGTAATGATTAATATCAACCTGTTTTCTGATTAATATTATCCATGTGCATGAAGACGTCTAAGATCAACTGGTAATCAAGTTTGGAAAACGATCTCATCAGAAAGTCCCCTTCGCCGCGCCCCCCCCCCCCCCCCCAGTATTGCCCAATCATTAGACATCGTACATTAAGTCGAGCAATAAAATTTCATTGATGCTGATTGCCAAGGCTATTACTCTAAGAGAAAACAATTCATTCGTAAAGAGTTGACAAATTTACAATATTTTGAAACCAGACAAACACTAGTCTACTTTGGAACTCCTGAACAACCCTTATCTTTCTTACTTACTTCTTGTTGAAGTTAATCTCGTTGTTGCTGTTGCCGTGGTCATTACTGGCGATAGGCTGTATGCATGGAAACTAAACGGATATTATCTGAACCGAATATGATGATTGAAAATATTCTCGTCGTAAGTCTATCACGACTCGTGATAACTTCAATACGGACAAGTTCACTCGAAAGGTAAACCAGAAGGTCTAGTTGTGAACTGTTGGCATTGTAATCACTGAATGGAGTTCGATGTAGTCATGGCCTGTATGATAAGAAATTACTCATGTAGAGATAGGTACATACATTCACGTTAGTTTGAATCAAAATACGGAAGTAGTCAGATGTTGAAGAGATCATTTGGAAAGTTTCACAGTAGTAATCTGGCGTTAAACAGTCAACGTACTGATAGTTTAAACTATTGAAAGTAAATCACTATGGATATGGTAGTTTCACATTCAATGATGTAGCTATTCATTGAAAATAGCAAAGTGCAGTTTAGGGATCTGCAAAATCGCTTTTTTTAGTCCCGGTCCCGGTCTTTGACAATGGCTTCATTTCTAAAATCGAACAACTTTTTTTTACGATCTGTGTACTTTTATGAATACATCAAATTGACATGAACGATTTTGATTCGTTAACAGTACGAGAATTCTTTTATATCCAGTGTTAAATTGAAAGAATTTCACTGAACGCTCGAAGAAATAAAAATAACCATTGAATTTAGTTGAAAATTCTCAGGTACTTCGTAGCAGTCATTTACTTATTTCTCTCTTCTTTTATATCTACTGCTCTACCTAATAGATTTATTATTCGAATTTATTATTTATACTGAGTCGCCATTACGATTGTCAAAAAAAAAAATAAACAGCGACACATCTATTTACTATTATCTGATAAGACTTAAATAAAGGAATGATCCAAGAATGAACGAATTAAACTTACGTATATAGTGTTGTGTTCATTGTTTTATGTATATTCAAAAACCTGTGCAATTGGAAAATTCAGATGCTTGCAAACAGACTCGTAATCGGCTAAGACTTTTATAGAAATAGCAAATAAAAATATCTGATTTACAGATCTTTAATCATGTCAAAATAATAAACATGAAAATATATTGCATAAAACACTGACCGGGACCAGTGTGAAAAATTTTTAGTCCCGGCCCCGGTCCCGGGACCACTTTGCAGTTCTCTAGTGCAGTTGTAGCTGAAGCGATCTCTCCTGGTTCAGTGTTTTTATTGTTGAATGAATAGAACTGTTTTTCATTTCAATAAGCGATGATGAAGTCAACCTATTGAGAATACGTGCTAGACTTAAAAACGTACTATTTCGGTTATTGGCATTGGTCGACTTGTTTCTACCTTTCAAGTATATGACTAAGCCTATGATGATGCGACCAAGACAAACTATGACCAGATATGAAATACAGGATAGGCAAAAGCACCAATCACTGTTTTTTAGCAGGGAAAACTTACTGTTGTTGAGCATGTTACTAGATGGAATATTATTCTCATTCTCACACAATCATCTTATGTGATAAAAAATATTGTTGACGATCATTGCTGAGCAGTCAGATTTTTCAAGTATTCGTCTCGTTGAAAATCAACAACATCCAATGGTTCTCGAGTGAATGGACTCATTCCATGTTTATCGATCCATTTGACAATGACTGCATGTTCATAAACATGAGCATCTTTAGCTATGATCGGATCACCAAAGACTTTGTTACATTATAAATAATCGAAGATTATTCCTCAATCGTAATACACACATGGCTAATTTAAGGACATTTAATATTTATCTTCTAATAAAGAAGAAAGACATGATAGATTTTCCTTTTTCTCTTTTTCGTACCAATTGTTTATTTCTCAATAAACTATTTATCCATTCATTTGGTCTGTTCGAGAAGTATATTATGTCTAACTGACTTGAAATGTATTCGGATATGTTAACTTTTCTACATAGATGTTTGATTGTTCGTCAATATGCTTTCTTCTATCCTATGTTGTGTAATATTTATTACGTCATAATTAGTCACACATGGACAATATTCACAAAAAGAAAAGGAAGAGAAGAATAACGAAAATATACAAATCTGCATGTTTTGGTGTATTTTTCATCGATCAACGTTAGCCATTACTTAGAGAAAGAAAATATGTGCCATGTAATTGTCGATTGATTGAGCAAATCGGTACTGAAACATTCTCTATAACTGGGGGAATTGATCAAATTTAGAAGAAGTTGTGTAAAATTCTTTGCAGAGAATCATTAGAATTTAACAAAATGTATCCACATTATAGTTTCATGCTTGTCAAGAAAGATTAATCAGCCAATCGTGGCTTGAGCTTAACGTCACGACAATAACAACGGACTTTTTCTTTTGAATTTAACTCGAATGTTGGTGTTCTTCTTGTCGAACAAATGTTTTCAGCTCAAAAAGATAATTCCATCTTAGTCCCTATTTCGTCATATTTTTTCTGCCTCATGCTTGTCAAATAAATCCAAAAGTAATTCTTTGAAAGTCAATAACACACGCATTTGGTAATATAAAATTATTGAGAATATATGCATAAAGAGTACAACCAGAGAGAAAGGAAAAGTGTTCGATTCTTTCTTACCATTCCTCTTTGAAAACAGTCTTCAATATGTTTTTTTTCGAAAAACACAAATAAAATAGATTGAAACTAAAATTTCTCACATAGACTTATGTGAGATCGACCCGTCATGATTTGATGGGCAAGGGTTTCAGTATTAGACACACGAATGCATGTTTTGTTTCATAGAATCACATCTTATAAAGTTCATCAAATTTCAATTTATCGAAGCAAATACAACACACTGTGTTGAGTCGATGAGTAACGAAAGGAAATCGAACAACAGTATCAACTGATGCTGACCGAATACAATTACACACGTTCCCACACACACCCACACCCACACCCTTTACAAATTTGTGATGATGACTAAAAATACAACATTACTACATCTTTTCGAAAGTACAATATAATTACATGTTGAATTAAGGCTGAGATGTTGTAATAAAAAAAACTTCATACTGTTGCAGCAAGAAGAGAACGAATGGAAAATACGAGTATGTTCATTACCTTATGGCACTTATTGAAATCTTTTTTGACTCGAATGTGTAAAAGGACTGTGTGACAAAGAAAAACAACGTTTTAAGCTCAATTTTGATATTAACAATTTTCTAAAACGTCTGAATTCACTGAAAACACCATCTATATTTCTCTTTAAGACTTATAATTCCTTCGTAAAAGAAGAAACATGTCGAAAAAGAAGAAAATTTTATCTCATATCCTGATGAATGAACTCGTAAATACAAGCTGTTTGTGAAATTCAAATGTGAAACATGATGCAGTTGTTGTTACTAATCATAGGAAGATTGTCTTACTCCATTTATTTTGGAACATATTTCTTCTACATTCTCTTACATAGCCCTCCAGAAGTGCAATAAGGAAGTAATTCATCTATTATAACTAGACGCCAATGATATACAGCCTATGATCGTATATCACCAGCATCTGTTACCATCTATGATGAAGGAGAGACGTTCCTAAAAATATCTGTAATGCGTCATTGGTAAGATGTTTGTTACGTCTGTGGGTGAGGCTGTGTGCATTTCTTCTTTTTTTCTTTATCTTCCTCACACATCCATCTCACACCCATCAAAGTTACTAGCCGCTTCTTCGTCGAACAGCACAAAACCTAGGCGTTATAGTTCAAAAATAAAAATAGAACGAGTATCTAATTCAAAGTATTTGTCATTCTTGTAAGAAGGTAAACATGACATAACAAATGCATTATGTTCTGTTTGTAATGCGTAATATTCAATTGAAAACAGTGCAGACGGTGATGATAATACGCATATGAAAACAAAAGACTCCTCAAGACTCGCTAACATCAGTCGAAGTAAATAGATGTAAGTTTATTTACTATTAAATTAGACTGATAAGTCTCTCAACGAGAGTATTTCTTCTACGAGTAAAACCGCTAAACAACTTATCTGATATTAATACAACTGAATTAGATCGGTTATCTGCGACTGACGGAACCATAATATTCTATGATGTCAAGCATTCTCATAATTATTTGTTACAAATGTGCACAATCCAGTTAGTTAAAAAATCATGTTTTCCAAAGTGTGTAAGTTTGCGGTGTGACTGAAGAGAAGAGTCACAGCCACATCGTCACATCCTTCACAGTATCGAACAGTCTGTCAACGTTAAATCCTATATAAACTAAATTTTCTTTTATACCTGTATATATAAAGTTGTTCGAAAAAGTTTTTTTGCATTGTATTGAGGATTTTGTATTGAATAATAGCGCTGATATTGTGTCGATTAAAACCCAACCTTTTGTAGCATACGCCTATGCTCTTGTGTATTTCCTGTTAGAAATACTTTTGATGCAATTGATACGGATAGTTTTTTAAGAGGAGTATTTTTTAATGAAATTACTGTTGTATGATGTTCATCAGAGTTAATTTGAATATTTTCTACATGAAACGTTGTAAACGGTACAATTAATATTTCTTGTTCATTTTCATATTCGGATGCACATGGAAGACTGTACTCAGGTATTTTACCTAAATATAGTGCTTGTTCGCATGCATGAGGAAAATTAAATACCATTAAAACACGTATTGTATTAGGTGATGTTGTTGACTGTGATTGAGCAAACTCTTCAGCTACAGATCGATCCAATGATGTTGATGAAAATGTTTGCGTTTCAATAATGCTTTCGGGGTTATTCCAAGCTAACCAATAACACTCTAAATCATCATTTGTCATTGTTACACCACGATACGAGATACCTTGAAAACGTCGATATTTTAAATCGTTTTGCAACATTAAAGGCCAAAATAATGATGAAAAATCATCTCGTAATTGATAGTAAAATGGTGTTTCTAATGTGTAGAGCTTTAATAAATCATTTATGCTTTCATGTTGAGCATAATTTAATAGAAGTCGAGAACACTTTTTATATTCCAAATGCATTGGTGTCACTTTTTCCTCGATTACTTTTCGTATTGTTTCTACTCTAAATGCTTTGTCTGTCATACACTTATTAAATCTGTCATCATCCAAACGTTGATGTTTTAGTACTTTTCGAATAATATAGCGTCCACGTCTTGTTTGAAGAAGCTTTTTACTTTGACTAAGCACACTAATTTCTTTATCAATTTCTTCTTTTGTTACAAAACGTTGGATGTATTTATTAATTTTTTCACTGTTTTCATTGTTATCGGCAAGGTTCTTTGTGGTTGAAGAAACAATCTCGAATGTATTTTTGAAAGTATTGTGTTCATCATAAAACCGATTAATATGTGAAGTACGATAAAATAACTGTCGAATTTCTGGTGTTTTTGCTTCCTCATAAGCAGTTAAGCCATAAGAATTTAGATGATGACGTTCACAACCATATTCATGTAAAAGAAGGTGAACGATGCGTGTATGCCCATAGATTGAAGCTGCATGCAAGCCTGTACTTCCATTAGGTTCTAGTTGATTTATTTGTTCGTATGGCATCATTGACAAAAGTTGTTTGACAGTTTCAATATCACCATTTCTACATGCAACGTAAAACTGACTTACTTTCTGTTGCTGTGGGTGACGTAAATTTTTTTTATTGTGTTTGATATCGATACTGTTTTGGTTACTCATTTCGTAGAACCAAAAATGGGATATTTGTCAGTATCACACTGTAAAAGTATAGAATGGTTCACAAATCTGAAAAGATACTTCAACGTCAAAAGCAAGATACATGAAATCATTCCATCCTTGGTAAATACGTATTCAAGTTAGACGCTGATGCATTTCTAGTTAAGCAATCTTAGACACGTCAGTATCTATTTTTTTTTACTTAACTGATTTGAGTTACTCAATGGTATTTTGAGCATTCGTCTTTTCTAGACACTTTCAGCACATTGTCCAACGCTCGAATGAATATTTCAAATGATGATTCAATTTTCACATGATACTTGTTTCATCGAACAGAATCTCAGTATGCAGAGATAGAATATCTAGGATTTTGCCACGTGTCTTTTACAGTTGTTAATTTTACACTGGATTTTTCATCGACGAGATAAAAATTTCTCAAGAATGATATGAACGATTTTTCGTTCAGCATACTATTTAACTTATTTATGCGCTAAGACTAAACATAGAAGTTCGAAGTATGGCCGATTTTCCAGTAACGCTATTTTACTACTGTAGTGAAGACTCTGTTTAATGAGACAACTCATATGAAAAGCGGATCAGGAATCAGAAATGTTCATGTGCGAGCATTTCAGAAGCGACCATTGAAAGTAATTCTTTTTCTGTATGACAAGTGGAATCAGATAATAAAAATGTCTTGCTCCAAAAGTTGAACGTCGCATAGATTTCATCTAGAAAAAATATCAGTGAAATTAGAAAAGGTATGAAAAACATATTAGTCACTTATACACTAATTTTAACAAGAAAATACTTATACTATTTACTTAAAAAGTGAATTATAAGAAGAGCAGATGACAAAATATCTGCTTCATTTTTAAAATTATAAATTCCACAAAAGAAAATGGTTCATATACAATAATAAAACAATGAAATCGTCCATAATAAAATCTGTTTCTGGCTACAATGTTTACCCACCACCTGAAGAAGTTGATGATGAGGTGAGTTGTTCCGATTTAGATGTATAAGAATTAAAAGGGTAATTACCTTGTGACGTAGAGATGTGCAGAGTAAGCTTTTCTCGTACCCTGTACTTTAAGTGAGAAAGATTCTCTAACCCTTACAGTCTTGCCCTACTCTGCAAAACCTCTGAATTTCTCTACCCTTATCCTATCCTGCAGAGTAGAGTAAAATAGAGTAAGCCTGCATATCTTTTTTATGAAGCCCACCAGCATCCATCGAAATAGATATTTTATAAGGTAGATTACGGACAGAACTGGAAGCTTTATTGAGATTTTTGTTGGTGGACAGTGAAATCATTGCATCTATTAGTGGTTATGGACCAGTTATGGCATGCTGAAACAAGAGGAAGAAGTAGCAATGAATTACAGTAAGAGGAAACAGATTATTAACCATTAAAACAACATATATTCGACGCTCCAATAAGCTCTCAGAGATGTTTCATTGCCAAAAACCGACTTCACTTGCCTAAAGTCCAAGAATGATGAAAAGACATATATGACTTATTCTCTCCATTCAACGAATTTAGATCAATTCATCAAGCATAAATCGTACTTCTGGTTATAATTGGTCGATAGTCACTCTTGATCTACTTTTCAATAATATTTACTTATATTTAAGCTATTGTAAATAAAAAAAAATATTCAATAGGTTTTTTTATCACACTATTGAATGAGAAAAAATTACTATCGCTACTAAAAGAATCAGAGAAATTGTGAATGGATGACAGTAAAAAACGATTGAAAAAAAGAGTTTATTGATCACTCAATAAACATACCTGACAAGAATATTTAAAGGAAAGTTTTTTTTTACCATTTCTTTTTGAGAGAGTGCATGAAACTAGTATTTTACTTAGCTAAGAATCGACATCAAATTGAATGCATGCTTTGCACTAGAGCATTGGTCTCCATCGCAGAGACGTTATTATTCGAACATGCTTTTGGTTTGATGATTAGTAGGAGACGATTCATATATATATCATAGAATTGTTGATCCGACTTCGCGCGACGAATGATGACTAAGTGTAACTAACTACTAATGGTGATGTACAGCTGAAAATCGATGTTCAAGAAGAAGCTGCTAGTCAGAATTTTATTAGTTCTGACGACGTATCAATGATGAATAGCAACGAGGAAAAAGCTTCTATTGAAAATGGACAACTAGAAATGGTTGAGAAGCACATCTGATATCTGCTCCTCACTCATCAAACGATCTTTTACATAGTCAAGGCGGCTATTGACTTCCTTCCCAAGTGTTTGACAGAACTTTTTCTCAGTCCCCACATGACATCTGCTATGAGTGACTCTCATATCTAACTCAAAGGACAGCTCTTATCGTTCTTTTATTAGAATATAAGCATTCAAGCTTCAGCTACTAGTTCAATCCGATCGGCATACAAACAGAAAAAGAAAATTGAAAAATAGTTTGCATAACTCAAATCCATCGGTCAGATATAGATAGTAAAATGAAGTTGAACATTAATTATAAAATTAGCAACATTGGGCTTCAATAAAGAGAATCAATCGTTGTTTATTGACTTCACAATACAAGTACTAAGAAGAACATCTTTTATTGAGAATCTGAAATTTAATAAAAGATATCGCTCAGAAGGCACTTTTTCACTTCATAGACACTCAAGAAAAGATAGGAGCTGAAGACAATGAAATGCTCCTACATTCTCTTCTTGATCAGCCTCGGCTAATATCTGCCACTGTTTGCAAGATGTTCACGACGATGAACTAGCGAGAAATCATAAGAATTGTAAAAGCTTGACTTACCTCAAAGTAGAATTAAATTAGGATTATTTAACTTACACAAGTCCAATCCCCTTTCCATATTCATTAAGTTTACACTTTCTAGTGGTTCGCCTTTCTTTGCTCAAGCGTTTCTAAATCGTGTCAAACTAAAAGAAAATATGTTGATTTCTTTACATGTGCTCCTTGTTAATATGATGATAGCAGAGTGTATCCCACTGCACACGTGTTTACGTAGCCTTGTAAAATAAGAAAAAACGTAAAATACGATGACGACAGAATAATCGATATGTATCATGCATTATAACTAAAATTAGATTGATACGTATACACGAATACAACGTCGTTGTGTATGTCAGTTGAGCGACGCAAATATCTAATTATGATGATGTATGATAAGAATGAGAGCAACAATCATCATGTGTCAATCTTCAGCTTGATTAATAATCTCTTGAAATAACATATCAACGCAAAGCAACTATTAATATGACTTCATAGTAGTAGACCAAATGAATCATTTTTTGCAAAAATGAGATCTGAACCAACAAATAATACGAATTTACCAAATAGAGATCCAGAAAGTGCCTATTTGTACTCACGCACATCTGAGGAAAGTTTGTACTATACTTATTCGCGATCACTCAACTCATTCTCAGTTCCAGAACCTAAAATGAAATAGTGATATTTCAAAGGGTGCAAGCATTTTTTGGATGCGAGTATGAGAAACTCCTTCTCATTTGCGAACATATACGAAATGAAGTTTATGCATAATAAGTTGTTTTGTACTCTTGATTGATAGTTAAGTTAACAAACTTAAAAACTTTAAATGAAATGATTTAATTTTTGAGAAACGGTTTTCAAACAGTTGATTGATGAAAATGCATACGAAAAATTATTTTGTTTTAAGAAAAGTTACTGTACATTGTTGAGAATGTGAGTTATCATTGAGAATAAGTTTTGAAATTAAGTGCAATTAATAGAAAATGTAGAGGCTTTCAGTTTTTAATCAAAGCAAGTTTTTGATCAATAAAGGATTGCGGTAATTCACAGTGAGCTACACCCGATTATTATCAAGGAAGAGTATGATAATTATATTTCTTTTTTTTTTTATATTATTTATCAATTGTTATATGAGATAACATGACATGCATTTACAAACTAAATTTGAAACTAACCTAAATCGTTAAAAAAAAGAATTGGTGTGGGTTGGATTTAAAATCAGTTTTCCGCAAGAGAATTAAATATTATCGACAAGTCTAGACTAAATGAATTTATTTTTTTTCTTTATTATTGATAAATATAATACGCAAAATTCATGAGTAAAGGTCATTGATTAGAAAATAGCTAAGAAGAGTTTTAATCAAAAATAAGGGCAGGTTTCACAGAAGTTTTATTATAAGTCACCGTCATGGTTAAATAGATCATCTTGTGAAGAGTTTGTCACAATGATTTGTAGCGACTTCTACATATTGTATTTATGTGAAAGTAAAACAGAATATAAATACTTTCTTAAAATTTATATGAGTAAGTTTCCAACGATTGAAAAAATAGAATTGACAATTTCATCTTCTTATTTTTAACTTAGTTCGGGTGTAGGTGTAGCTATTATCTGTTCACCCACGCAGAAGTTCATACCCACATCCAAAATTGATATTTTTTTGTATGCTGGTACTGAAATATGGAAAAGCTTTATGTCATAGTCATACTTAACATCTTTCATGGGAAATAAGCTCCTATTTTTCAGATTCAAGAGAAACACAAGACTTTGCACATCACATTTTTTGTGTTCGCAAGCAAACGATTTACTTGAGGCAACAGGTATATTTTTGTGTTTTTTTCAGTTTATAAGGGTGTTCATTATCTCTTCACCTAAAATCCAACTGTACCCACATGCAAATCATTTCGTCTATATTTAATTTTAATTTTTTACCTTCTATTTTCATGTACAGAAGATAAGAAGAAATTCATGAAGAGTTCATTTCATTTTTTTTCTCATGTCGTACTCATTACATGAATGTGAAACTATGTAATCTTATTTTAGATATTATTGAGAGAATATAGCCTTTAATGGATTTTAACAAAGATATTATTCTTTTTGTCATCATCTAAAAATATCATTTGTCCATATAAGAGAATTTTGCAAGGAGTACAATCACTCCCATCACATTCTTTCGAAGACAATTTATCAGTGTAAATTTCAGTCAAGACTTTTTCATTCTTCCATTAACACCACAGTTTTGTGTCCGTTTAATTAAAAGAACTCTGAAGAAGTTTTATTCTAATGAGCTGAACTTTCGAAACAATTGCTTTTAACAATAACTGATCTGTTCAAATAGGTCAATGCCTCGGAAAAAAATTTTCGAAATGTGTCACGATTGGAAATATTGCGGACCATAATTTTTTAACGTGTATTGCTGATTTCATAACGCATGTTTCGAATACATGTCCAAATGAAAAGAATTCGATAGCAACTAACAGAAAAAACTAAATAAAAACCGTCATATACTCTGATAGAGAATTTGTTCTTATCGTAAATTGTTATAGAATTGAGGTCTATTCACAATAGAAGAAGAGAGATTGCTGATATAAAAGAGTTGGATCAATAAAAAAGAATGAATTTATTTTAAGTGAATTTTTTATTTTTTCAATATTCATTGTTAGTAATTCATATTTAAAAGCAATATAAAAATTAAAACAAGTGAAACAATAACTCATATATCAGACAAATAATATTGATTGACAAAATTAGCATCAACAACTAAATTCTGAATAATTATTTTTTTAATTTGTTACTTCATTATCATCAAGACGAACTTTTAGTTTTCAAATATAATCAACATTATTCAAAATTCATTTTAAATGAATTACAGATTAAGAAAAAGTTATTAGAAAAAAACTCATTTTTCGTTAGTTCTCAAAATAATTATGGTTTTGACTTTTATCTGATATTCTTTTAGTGTAAAAAAAAAGCAACACAACACAAATTCACTACTTATTAGTTAATCAATCCTTTTTAATCTAAAGAACGCAAGAAAAGACATTTTTTTATATCTATCGATTCAACAAATTTTCCAAATGAATCTTGTTAATTGAACTTATCTTGATTCCCAATAGGATCGGATCTAATATGTTCTAATGACAAACAACTCTCATCTCATGTCTATTTCGGAAAAAAATTCCAAAGTTATTAGCAGTTTTTTTTTAATAAGAAATCATTTGGAACATAAACCGAAACGAATAAGAAAGTTCGGATTCGAATTCGACTTGGCTCATATAGGGAAGAGCAACATCTTCATTTTTATAAGCAAATCATATTCCGCCCTTGTATAGCATGTCCTTTATATCTTTACTGTAGAGAGATGTGCAAGTCACTAAAGATTAGCTACTATATGAATTCTAACATAACCATAATTAAAAAAGCTTCTTTGTAATAGAGCGAATAAAGTCTACTCGTACGTTGACGTATGTTCGAGAAAAGGTTTTTTTGTTAATGCAGAAATCTTTGAAAAGATTTTCTCATTTGAAAAAAAAAAGTTACAATCTTAATGCCAGTTTCTGCATCTCTGATTTGTACTAACACATAAAGCTCATTACAAAAGTCGTGGATTTTATTTGATAAACACACTTAATTCGCTGTCTCTCGAATATGACAGTGAGCGTTCAAGAAAGATCACAGAATCAACTTGAAGGTTTTAACTTTTCTCTGCCTTTGTCACTCATCCATGATTCCAATGAATAATTCATTATATATAGAGAATCAATTGATCCTATAAATCTTGAATAAGAAAACTTCGATCTTTGGTTTCGAACTGAATTATTAAGGATCACTTTTCATCTCATTCGAACACATCAAAATATGCATAATTGTAGCTATGGCTCATCGCAATAGTTCGAATGATGATTATACGGCAACCGAAAAATCTAACAAGTTTGCTTGCATTTGTTAAAAGAAGCAGCTGGAAACAAATCGTCAACAAACTAGAGAGTTCTGTGCATTATATAAAATCAGCTAACTTTACCACATATATGAAAATAAGTGTCATAGGAATCACTGATCATCAATGCATTTTGAAGATAGACAATATTAGAATAAATAAAAAAGGTAATCCCCAGTTTTTATAACAATACAAGCCAGAATCGGCATCAGGTGTGAGTATGATGATGGCTGAAGTAAAGACCTATACCCACCTTTCTTTGCTAGTCAGATATATAATTTCATGATGCAACGTACCGTTTCTGTTCTTGCTCTCAATTTCCTTGAAATTTCTGTCGAATAAGCCATTGAATCATCGTACGATTCACTCGGTTTTACTAGGATGGCTGACATGAAACCGTCGCTAGTATCAGTATACTCTTTCGCTGTTAGTATTCATAACTTTTTCGGCAAGTTCGACCAATCATGCGACGCTTGTAAAGCTTCATTCACACGTTCGGCTCCTGAGATATGTCCCAACATCTCACCTTTGAGAAAGGTTCGCACACTCTTTGACGACTACATCGTGAGAAGCGCGTTTGAATTACCCAAAAGACACGATGAGGAAATAGGTTAAATCTGAATCTCTGGCATTTGGACAATATGACAAAGCTTGTAATTAGGTGATACCATATGCCGAAAACCAAAGCAAACAAAGTATCACCCATGTGAGAATTTAAGCGATAAAGCTGTCTTAAAATAGTTTATATTTTAAGCCGCTTAAAGTGCTTCGAACACATTTAAGCGCTTATAGTGGCTGAAAAAGCTACATTCTAAGTCCTTACCAGCTGTTTAGAACACACATATTGGACAGCAGCTGATAAGCGCTTAAATATGCTTGAACCACTTTTAAGTGGCTTAAAATGTGCGCTTGCAAGCGCTTTCTAAGCGAAAATATTATATACTAATATAAGCCGCTTATAAATTGCTTATAATGAAAGAAAATTTCACATGGGTAGCACTGATATCAGTCGATCCATGCGTTAAAAGATTATTCGGCAAGCACTGTTGTGCGCATTTGTATTATTACGAAATCTTCACGAAAATTTTGGCATTTATAAGTGCAAAAATATGTTTTTATCTTTACGTGGAGTCATTCGAAAGAAAAGATTTTTGCTCTTCTTTGCTTTTCGTTTGTTATCTTACATCTAGGTACCTACTTCTTATACATCATACACACCATACATTTTTTCACATACATCTTGAGGAGGAATAAGTTTATCAGCAGTATCATTATTTATCATAAACTTTTGCTCATTAAAAAAGAACAATTATTATGGAAACGTCTATGATTCTTTTTACTTTTTTTTCTTATCATCCTAAATGTTATATTGGGCGTGGGTGTCGATGTCGGTATTCTTTTCGTTCATACCCACAGTCCTACATATATGCTGACACCCAAGCGCCCTCTTTATATGTGCAACTATATCTATTGATAGGCTCGTTCTGTTACCGTTTGTCAAGGAGGAATGTACGTTAATGGTGATAGTGCCGATGTTTGTATGCTATAGTCTAAAAAGGGTATGTCTACACTGTGAAGATATTTTTTCATTCTGTTGCTGATAAAAGAAGAAGAAACGGCCAAAAAAGGTGAGTTGCTCTTGTATTGTCACAAAAAAAGGAATTTTGACACACAAGACTTTGATTGAAAATGACTGTTTACAAAAAGACTAGAACATCAATTATGAACTATTTATGTCATTTAGAATCATTTTTGAATAGGAACCAGAGAAAGGTCTGCAGTTTTTACGGTTTAAAAGATGAAATGAAATTGCATCGAATCGTACATACCAAATTTTTCTGACAAGTTTTATCATGGTCTACCATCAAGTTAATTAAAAACAAAACATTGTGCAATGTAATAGTTTCTGGATTTTAATTTTCAGGAGAGCACTAGAATCATTACCTAAAGATCTATAAATTAAGTAAGTCCGATGTTGTAAAGTTTACCTAATAATGAGTTATAAAAATTTGATTACATGTTATCAGCAGTTTTTTTTTTTCAAAAAAATGACTTTTTTCTCCGATTTTTTCACGAAAACTCTACCCTAATAACCTGTTTAAAAGCTTTGAGTTTTTAAGAAACTTGGAAGTAGATCCTGCTAAAACTTGTCACAAATCTCTGATATATACGATTCGATGCAGTTTCATTTCCTCTTTTAAACAGTGAAAACAATGGATCTCTATTTTGTTCCTATTAAAAATTATTCTAAAATTACTCACCCTTCTTTTATTTCGAAATGGGTAATAGTTTGAAGCTCTCTTTTGACCCTAAAAAACGCGCATAGTAACAGAAGCACTATTAAACCCTCCCCCAAATTAAAAGGGCATGGCCTTATACAGTGTCTCAGAACATCGTTATTTTTCCAGTGGCCTTCTATTGAGGGTCAATTTTTGGCCAATTATTAATTAAAAAAATTAAAAATTAATTAATAATCTTAATTATTTGTTTTTAGACTTTTTCACTGAAAAAACTGACATTTTTTTTGAAAAAACTATACTATTTACGATAGGACAGTGAGAATTTCCCAAAAAAACACTAGAAAATTGGTTATTTTGGCAAAAAAATGATTAATTTTTAATAAAAATTCTTCATTCTTGTAATTAATTAATTAATTAGTGCATGGCCTTCTAATAGAGCGCTTGAACTTTTGTTCGAACATGGCCTTATGCAGGGGGTGGCCTTCTAATATAGGGTGGCCGTCTATTTTGGGGGGGGCTTTAGTTAGGACCTATTTATCAGTGATTCGTTCTATCTAGGTGTCAACTTCTATCTCTCGAGTTGGTACAAGAGACGCGAACTCTCGTGGCGTATAAGTATTTTTTTCTCAGCTGCTGCTCTTGCTGGCGCCTTCGGTGGTGTACTCGCCTATGGTATCACTAAAATGGGCGGTGTAGGTGGACAAGAAGGTTGGCGTTGGATATTCTATCTTGAAGGCATTGCCACAGTGGTTGTTGGAGCATTGGCCTTCTTCTTTATTAACGATTTTCCTTCTGATCGGCCAAAATTTCTCAAAGAATCTGAATACAAGCGTGTCATGGATCGACTGCAAACCGATGCAGGAGCTGGAGCTAGCGAGCACTTCAGCTGGAAACAAGTCTTGGCCGCTTTATCAACATGGAAAGTCTATGCTTGGTCCTTGTGCTATATCGGCGTACTTATTCCTTTCTATTCACTGTCCTTTTTCTCGCCAACCATCATTAAGAATCTTGGTTTCGTCACTTATCAGGCTCAACTTCTCAGTGCACCGCCTTATGTATTGGCTTTTTTTACTACGATGATCACGGCCTATGTGTCTGATAAATATGCTCATCGTAGTATGTTCATCATTTTCTGGCTCGTCATCAGCATAGTTGGCTATACTATTCTGATAACACTTGACAACTTAGTTGTCAACTATCTTGCTGTGGTTCTTGCAACTGGCGGTCTCTCCCCATGCATAGCCACTTGTATCGCTTTTATATCTGGCAATATCAGTCCACAAACTAAACGAGCAACAGCCGTGGCGTTTATGATCTCAGTAGGCAACATTGGTGGGGTGATCAGCGGACAACTCTATCGTGCACAAGATGCACCGCGCTTTATCCTAGGTCATACCATCAATCTGGGTTTTTGTGCACTCGGTTTAGTCAGTGTTGTAATCCTTCTGTTTGGTCTCCGAGCAGAAAATCGACGACGTGATCGTCTGTATGGACCTATACAATCATCAACTGCGTTTGTAGGTACAGAGACAATGTCATATGGGACAGAGATCCAACGCCCCGATACATTCAATATAGGCAGTGAAGAAGACAGACGACGATGGGGCTATGAAAACATGTCTGAGAAGGAGATTCTTGATTTGGGAGATCAGCATGCTGCTTGGCGATATATTCTCTAGAAAACCAAGTAGTTGACAACTGTATAAATTTATTTTCATAGATTTCTTCATTGGGATTGTAAAAGTACATTCTCAAAACATATACTTTGATCCTCTTTATTCTTTTTTCTTTGATAATTTTTTTTGTTGGTCTGATATCTTTGATATCAACAGTTTGTTTTTTTCACTTCTGTTCCGTGACCTTGATCAACCTTTGTATTTTGTTTTCTTTTTTATTCTTGTTTCCATATTCCTATATACACACTTGTTTTTCAAAAAGAATAAACAGAAAGAGAAGAAAACGCGCACGTCTTTAACTGTGTTGGTTGTTTTCTATGAGTGTGGATGGGATCCTTCCTCGAGACCAACCTTCGCAGTCATATACCCACACCCTGCTTTCTAAAACAATTCTTACCCGATAGAACCTTTTAGGAGTTCCAGACTTTTCGACTAGAACGTTAAAAAGATCTATGAAATGGTATCCACTGAACTAGTTCTGTATGATAACTTATTTTTTCTACAAAGCAGTCTTGGTTCCTGTTGGATTGTTTTCAATCCATTCACAGAAACTATTTATTTGCAATACTAAAATATGGGATCGACAGGTGGTTCCCAAACATTATGTATAGACTTCAATAAGCTACCTAATTCGAAAAAAATGAAACTTCTTTTCATTATTCCTTGGCTAAGATTTATGAGTTGGAAAACGATCTTTCTTAAAGAAAGTAAAAAGAATCAGTTTCATTCAGTTTCACAGACTGATTATTTTGCTGTTGGTGAGATTGATAAATAATACTACGAGTATAATCTATTTACAGAGTAGTTTTTTGAAAATTTCTTGCTTACAGACGTAAAAGCAATCTTTTTCATGACAAAGTGGGCCAAATAGCATGATCTTCATGCTAAACACTGTATTAGAACTAATAGTCCATCAAAAAGCATCCCAGAGCTGTTTGTAAATAGCGTTTTATCTAGAAAAGATAGAAACTTGCAGTTTCTGTTACGGCCTTTCTTCTCAATGAGACTTTAACCAGTAATTTTACCTGTTATCAAGTAAACAAATAGATACGTAGCGTTTCATAAACAATTTTCAGTTGTCATCAACGAGAATAATAAGAATTATTCAAATTGAATTTTATGGATGATTCTATATTGACATACATAGAGCAAATTTTCAAAACTGATAGTTACTTTAAAAACCAACAATTAAAAAATTTCTAATTTTCAAACATTGAACACTGATTTTTGCAAGAAAGCTCCTTTTTAGGTATTTAAAGGGCTGCAATTTTGTGTTTTATGTATGAAACACGAATTTCAGCATTTGAACTGACTAATTTTAAAAACTTGCTCTGTGGACATCAATACAGAATCATTTATAAAGCTCGTTTTGGCTTGTTCTTCTTATTCTCTTAGATAACAACTGAAAGTTATCTATGAAACGCGACATATATTTTTTTATTTGATACCAGGTAAAATTGCTTTCATGATATCAACAATAATATTTAACAGTAGTATATGCATATCTTATCTATATGGAAAAAAACTTTGCATGAACTTCTGTCACTAACCAAAAAAATCAACTCATTTGATTGAACTGCTGCAGAGATATTTCATTTTTTTATTGTAGCGTTATTTATGGATCATTCTGTAATGTTTGGATCTATGACTATAGTTACGTCTTGATGTGTATGCACCATTGTCTTTCACCATTGTGCTCATATGTTTCTCGTGAATGAGGAGACGGATGATTTCTTTCTCTCCATCTGCAGCAAATATTACAATTTTTTTTTAAATAAAATAATACTTACATGGATCAGAATTTATTATGACCACGAAAAGTTAACCAGCTATTTGGAGTTAAATTCGATCTAAACTAAAGTTTGTTCACCATTAAAATTTAGAGCTCACCTTCTGGACTACTTTTAGTCGACCATGAGAAACTCTCGATGCAATTAGCATAATACAATCGTGAAAATATCTAGGTATTAAGATACCTAAAAGTATGAATTCAAATATAAAACCGAATTCTATAGATCATTCTATCTTTCGACGAACAGAGAAGTCTTTCAATTGTGTCAAACAATAATGTCTTAGCATTAGCATATATGGAACACAACAGACTAAAATAAAAGTTGTTACTATTACAAACTTCAAGAGTTATATGAATTTCATGTTTTATATCCTAATGAAACTGTAATAATAAACTTTTCTCGAAAGAGCTACATAGTTAGCTAGTTGTTATATTAGTCTGCCTGAGCTGGGTAGAATCCACTTCTCTTATATTTCTTGGTTAAATTTACGTTTCAATTTGGATATCACAGATGCTCTATATTACAATTTGCATAATATTGCATCTAAAAATTTATTTCATCTGAAGCCATACTATCAAACTACTATTGAAACTGATTGCAAATAAAAGAATATATCTCAATACTCGATCATTAAAAAAATTCAAAGTTGTGTTTTTTTTACTAAACACTAGTTTGATATATTTGGCAAATCATTTTGTAATGGTTTGACTTTTTATTCATTTTATTATTTAGTTATCTGCTGTTCATTGTTTTGGCAAAGCTGTCAATGAAGGTGCTGATTCATATCAAAGAAAATAATCTTATGTAAAACTGCTGATCATTCTTCATCAAATTATTATTGAACAAGAAATAATTGCTCCAGTTTATTTTTTTTTTCTAAAAATTCATCAATAATAATAGAGAAGAATCAACAAAGAAAGATTCATCGAAAAAGAGAATCTTCATACAATCGTTTCCAGTTATCATAATCGTTTTCGATCACGAATAATAAAACTGTCGCAGTTATTGATGAAAATACGGACCTTTTACACATGTATTTTGAAGAAGAAAAAACATAATAATGTTTTTTTGCATCTTAGCAAAAGAAGTATATACAGCATTTCATTCACAATCAAACGACCGATGATAGAAATAAAAAAGACTCAAAAATAGAATTATTTCTTTTTTCTGTAGTGTTGTATATTCAGTGTGAAAAGAAAATATTTGGTTATCTTTAATAGACAAGACGTTCATAAATAAGACTGAAACATAACAAAACTATATATCAACAACCAGGAGAATTCACTAGAACGTATCAGAGAAAATGCAAGCCAACAGAATGAAAAAATATATATGAACATGGTCATGTAAGATGACGATGCTGTAAAAATAACATGAATGATTATTACTTTTTGATTCTCTTTATCTAAAAATTATATTTCCTAAAAATTAAATAGTGTAGTAAACGTATAAATTTATCCATTGACAGATTTATACAACATATCATTAGATAACTTATGACGTAATTTTCTTAGAGAAAAATTCACAATACATTCTGTAACTGAAGTAGCATTCATTTCTAGTTTAGAAATTCTATAGTGTCATTCAAGGTGTAGTGCTTTTCGATTTTTTTCTGTACTATCGATGACAATACTATTTCATGTTCACAGTAAAACATATGTTTATTGAAAAAGACATGAGAAAAACCAAATGCAACAATTTTTTTGTTGTTTTTTTCTTCGAAAATCCTCTAAAGGTGTTTCTTTGAAAGGAAAAGATCTAATACTATAGTTCTCAAGTGGTTTTTTAAAAGTAATCTTATTGAAGAATACTATTCTGAATGTCATCATCGTTCTGATTAGATAGATCGTCATCTGGAATGTACAGTCTACATCTTGAATAACAATGTATAAGTAAAGTTCTTTAAATAGATTCATTTGAAAACATAATTCATCATAGATATATGAAATACAGTGCGAGTCAAAAGTCTGGCACCACTTTTTTGTTTTGAGTCGTGTATTAAAACTGCATAAGATTAATTTAGTCCAATTACATGTTTGGATAGCAGAGATCGAGTACTATATATATACACCTGTTCGATTCGAAAAGCTCTTGAATATGAAATACAATAAGAAAAACAAACTCCAGCACTAAGAAAAAAATGACACAAAAAAGTACAAAATGATATTGTTGTTATAGGATACTTCCATGGTCAGTTAATCACAAAAAACACAAAGGATGCAGAAAATTTTCCATTTTATCAGACTTTGTAGAGCTTTTTTCGCTGATCATTTTGGTAAAAAAATATTTTGAATTTCATCGAGGAATGACGGTATTATAATCAAAATATTAAACACTGTGAAATACCCGGTGTTCCAAAAATGTTTCCAACTTAGTTTGTTTTGCAAATATCTCTGCAAAGACAAATGATAAAATCTTGGTTTTTATTTCAAATGATGCGCCGTGAAAAGATTTACAAAATCTGTAAGAACAAACCCTATTGACTTCTTTTGATAGTTTCTTCTTATACTCAAAATGAAAAAAAAAATCCATGATAGTGGTACTTCCCACCGTATTTAACATAATAAAAATGTTTGGAAGGCTGTTATATTTTGCATGTATATCGGCTTAAGAAAATGATAGTATCTGGATTTTTTTCAAAAGATGCATCGTCGAAAGCTCTACGAAAGCCGTATAAAGAAATTCCTATTGCACAGCAAAAAGCCTTTCAAACATTTTTATTACCAATTTGTAGTTTTTTTCTGTCATTTTTTTCTTAGTATTGAAGTTTGTTTTTCTTATTGTATTTCCTATTCAAGAGTTTTTTCGAATCGAACAGGTGTATATATAGTACTCGATCTCTGCTATCCAAACATATAATAGGATTAAATTAATCTTATGCAGTTTTAATACACGACTCAAAATAAAAAAAAAAGTGGTGCCAGACTTTTGACCCGCACTGTAGTTTGATACTAAGTATATTAAAGGTGAAAAATTAAGATTTATTAGCCTCTTAGTATATGATAATGCACTGATAAGTTATTAATATTAATAAATATTCAAAAATAATACAAGTCACTAAAAGAGTTACATTTTATTCAAATCTAAAGAGTTTACTATTCGAAACTACCTGACTTAGCCTTGAAAAAATCTCTTATCAATTAGATATTCTAGATAGTAGAAGATGTTGTGCTCTATCACAGGTATTGGACAACATGAAAGTTCGATTAGTATTTTGATTGTTTTTTTACAGGAAGAAGTAATTAGACTGAGCTGAAAATTTTATGGAATGCTAAATTCACTACCCTCTATAACATAAAAATCCAGCGACTTCTGAAATGTTAATCCATCGGCGATAGAAAAGGTTCTATTGAATTGACTCTTATTACTCTAGAGTATGCGGTGATATTTTGACCTTGACACTAAATATCGTGCTCGTTCTGTTGTTATTTACTTGTTGCCGTTCTTTTCTTGTTCTTGTACGACGATTGATAATAAGAAATATGTCGTCGTCGTCGTCGTCATCTAGGCTGCAGAAAAGATTACACTCTCACATGTAAGAATGGTCGAGAATGAATAAAACTAAAGGAGCAAATAGCAAACATTGTCAAACGCACGTTGTATATACTAACTAACAAACTCTACGCATAAAGCGACGAATATCAACACTGTATTTATAACCGTCGGAACGACACCTAAGATCAGCATTGAGTTATTCACGTTGTAACAAAAATGGCAATACTGTCGAAAATCGTTCCTATTGGCTGGCTTGCTCATATTGGTGCATGCTTCTATCTAGTTCGACCACTTCGTACCTTTTCATATCGAACTTTTTTGACAATAATACCATGCGGGATTTTGACATTCGTCGGTTGTAGTAATCTTCCTCTTCTTCATATGTCTTCTATGATGATCATTGTATTCTATTGGATAATGACAATTCGTCTGTTTCATTTAATTGTACTTTCATCCGAGCAGACTCTCTCACTTCGATCATTTATTGGCAAAATCTTTTGGTTTTTTATTCCTGTTATAGAATGCCAATCGAATTATCCTGTTATGTTTGATATTCTTTTAGCAATTGTCAAACTTATGTTAAATAATTGGATTTTTCAATGGTTTATTAATTGTGGACCGAGCGACAGTTATGCCAAAATGGCCATGTTCTATGTGTTTCTTTGTACAGGAACATACGTCGTTGATGCACAAATTGCTCTCGTTCGACTCATTACGCGCAATAAATACACTCTTGAATCATTTAACAATGTTCCGATTTTATCACGATCTATACGAGAATTTTGGGGTAGCCGTTACAATCGAGTTGTTGGTTCGGTTCTTAGAGAGAGTATTTTCGAACCACTTCGTCGCTCTTTCTCCTTTTCACCACCAAGCGCTGCTATAGCCAGTTTTGTAGTGAGTGGTCTGCTTCACGCACATGTGTCTATTGCCATCTTTGGTGTATCATCTCCGCTGCCTGCATTTACATTCTTTTTACTACAAGGCATCGCCTGCTGTGCAGAAGCGTATTGTCCGATTGTTTTGCCCAAACCGATTGGAATTGCAGTAACACATATGTTTCTTCTTCTGACAGCTCCACTCTACGTTGGACTGTTTACACGTGCTGCTCCTAATTTCTTCATGCTTAATGCGCCTTCATTACTGAATGCAAAATGGTTACCTCAATTGCCAGTGCCAAAATTTTGTCCAAAATAAACAGTAATCGAGAAGTAAACAGTACAATCTAACAGAATTCTTCTTAGTATAATAAAATAGTCCATGATTTTCACTTTTTTCATGATATTAAGTTCATAGAAATCCAAGATCAACCTCCCCGTTACAGTACAGCTTAATGATAGATATAATTAGAGATTAAAAAATTAACAGTCAGCAACAGGATACACAAGCAGTCTTACGAGGACAAGATCGAGGTACAACGTATCATCTATCGATGACTACTTGTATTTTATCTTGATTGAGAACTTTCGCGATGCCGTACGTCCAAACAAATCGGATTTGTGCTTGCAGCATGGCAGCTGCATGCATCGGTGAGATCGAGTCGAAAAACAACAATGCCTGTGATTGCTACATCCCTTCTCGTGAGCCTTCATGATCATGAACAAATGACGACTACGAGTCACACGAAATAGTCATAGTCGACGTTTGTTGACAAATCCATTTTTTGGTGGTCATCTCATTTTCTGATGATTTGAAAAATGTTTGTCAGTTAGTTTGAGAGGTGACAGTCATGTGCAGCCAATACTCAAAGAAGGAGAGTTTGGATGTAAAATAACAGAATAACCACACTAGTATCCGTACCCAGCTACAACTTGTTCTGAATGGTTGAAATATATTCGAGAAGTTGGCAGTATTTTTCGATATATTTTCACTGTCAGAGTTCTCAAAACTTCGACGAATGTCGGATCACACAATTTCTGAATGCTTTGAATTCAATGGCTACTGAGAAGTTCAAAATTGAAACAGAAGAAATAAAAGTACATATATGCAAATCTTTTGGCTACTCGTCGTGTTTGTTCATCATATGTTTTTTCACAATCTGCTTAGATACATATAATGTTCTGTAGATCCTGCAAATTTTTCTACGCACATACTTATAACGCATGGGTAAACTCAACATCTCTGGGAAAATTTCAGTTTTGGTTTAGTACTGGAAAAAAGAAAGCATTTTAATCTGATTTATTTTCAACATCACTTCACAAGTTTCAATAACAACATTTCCACCGTTTTTGCATATGTTTTTGTTTATGATCAATGAGTCTTTTTCTGTTGTTAAGCAATGTTTTTCTATACTGAAAATGTTAATAACGAGAATTTTTATTTCAAAAAAATTTTGTTCCTTCAGAAGAAATAAATCATTTCAAATAATATAGTTGACTTTTTAAAATGATTTCTTTAATTGAAATGTAAATAAAAATTTGTTGAGTGTGAGAAAAGCTCTTGTTCGTAAGAGCAATCACATCTAAATCTACATATATGACTTTGCTTGAGCAATATTAGCTGATATCTCAAGAATGTTGTCATGCATGGGTGAAAGAGTTCTTTGGTAGATTTCCAAAGCCTTCTCATAGTGAGCAAGTGCCTGTTTATAATTCTGTTTCATATAGTAGGCAGCTCCAACGTTCTGATAGCTTGAGCCAAGCTCCGGATGATTTTGAGGAAGTGATATCAAATGAATTTGAAGTGCGATTTTGAACTTTTCAAGAGCTATGTCGTACTTGTGCATACGCATATGAAGAGTACCTATGCTGTTATAAGCTGCGGCCAAGTCAGGATGAGTGGATGGTAGCAGTGTTTTCATGATGTCAAGAGCCTTGTAAGAAAATTTTAAAGCCTCTTCGAACATTTCTTGCCGAATAAAGACAATGGCAATGTTGTGCAAGCACATAGCCACTCTCTCGCAACCATCTCCATATGTACTTTTGTAGATACCCAAGGCTTTGTTGTAGTGATCAAGAGCTTCTTGAGGATCTGCCAGTTCTAGAGTAGCCATGCCAATATTATAATGAATTAAGGCGATAAAGTCATCGTTGGAGTTGGATGTTGATTCTTTTTTTCCAGTGCCTTTTTATAAAAATGGAGGCTCTTATTATACTCTCCTTTCTGATAAGCTAGATGTCCTAATTCCAAATAACACTCGCCCACAAGAGGATCGTTCTCCCCTAGCTCTTTTAAAAGTCTTTGAATATAAACCTCACTTTCAGCAAATTTCCCTGCTCGTAGCAGCATCTCGCTCAGGCTAAGAAGATTGCTTTCTTTCATCTCATTATGCATATGTTGCAAAAGATAATTAACATGTGGATCGCTGCTGTTGCATAAGAATAGCTGAATGAAGACAATACCGTTGTCTTCTCGAATGCTCTTCAGCTGAAAGATGCTACCGATCATGAATAGAATCTCGTCTTCGTCCGGAAAGTCACTTTCCGTCTGAATTTCTGCAAACGGTTTGGAGACTTCTACTCCCACTGGAGGAATAGATATTTCAAACAAAACTCTTCGGAAACCGTCATCGAAGGGAGGGTTACCCAAGTACTCTAAAGCTTGTTGTCGCTTAAGAGTTGTCGAAAGAAATGAATTCATGCAGATCAAGCTGCCGATCGATTGACGAAGTAAGCTCAATTCATCATCCGACATTACTTGATAGCGAAAAACCGCGGCTGGACGAGACGATTGCTTGCTGTACAAATCTATAAGCTGTTGATATATGTCGCATATGAAAAATCGCAAAAGAAATAGCAGATGGATGTTTTGGATTCGAAGAGCTTTGTTCACCATGCGGTAGAGAAATGCTTCTCTAGTGTACCAATTAAGAGCTTTTTCTTTCATATAGGTTTTTGCGAATTCATCAACGATCTTCAATTCTTGTTCATTGTCTGCATACTCCAGCCTACATAATTCAAGAAGTTCATCTCTATCTGTTCTATTGGGTTCCATTCGAAGAAGAAGGCTAATGAAAAGTTGAGAATGCATAAAATCTCCATTGAGGTCAGTTGAAGATCGTTGAACTTCTTCAGTTTCATCGGAAGCATTAGTGACGTTACAAATACTGATTGCAAAGGATTCTTCCATGTTTCTTCTACTTTTCTTATAGTTGATTCTGATTTGAGAAACTAGTTATTCTGGCGAGATCACGATTTTGACCTAGAATAATTATACCAAAAGTTTGTGATTACTAAAATGTCATTTGTTCTTCAGAATGGTCTTCAGGATTTTACCAAATTAAAAACAAAAGAAAAGCTTGCAATGTAGTCCAAACAGGATTAAAATGCGATACAAAACGGGGCCACTTTAATCACTATGAAGGAACCTCACTACGTCTATCACAGTTCATGATCAAACCAAAAGTGCTCTGGATAGTCGATCGTGGCATGCATGTCGATACGTTCGTTGCAGTCCCCTAGGGGTTCGAAGTTTCTCGCTATATATGTCAGCACTTATTGACGATGCTGCTCACAAAATGGATGTTTTGGAAGAGTTTACAGCGACTAGTAACCTATGGCTATGTCTCTATATGATGTGAACACTGACTATATAGAAATGCTAGTTAGTTTACTAACTACGCGTTGCAATATGGTTCAGTGTGCAGTCATTAACGCTTAAAGATAACATGGAAAAATTTGAAGTTTTGCGCAGCTCAATATAGCAGAACGCAGATAGAATTTGACATTGTAGAATCAAAATTGTTATATCAAATTGACTAGCAAGATATTTCTGGAAAAATATGACTTTGAAATATTCATTGCGAAATTTCGGTTTCAGATTTCTAGTTGCATATAATGCTCCCTAGCGTTTTCTGTCCGATTATGGTTTGTACAGTTTTCCTCCTCTTTCCATTTCCAGTTGCAAACTATTAACAGTCCAATAGGATGAAGTCTATTGTACTTAGATCTCACGCTAGTTTGTCTTCATCCTTGAGTGCGTCCACGTTTTACTTCGATTATTTTCTGATTTTAATAAATAGAAAGAGCTGTGCGACAACTGTAAATGCTGTCGTGTATTGAAATAACAATATTACACCTTCGAGAGTTCTGGTAGCCATGGATTGTCTTCGTTTTTGTCGAAGGTACAAACATATATAATCAAAATTTGGCAAAGAGCATGAACGCATGAGATCAGTTCTGGTTGCAACTGGCCACTGATGATAAGAACAAACCGATCATTAACCGAAAGTCGAATGTATCGTTCGCATTCTTCCAACTCTTGAAAGGTTCGAATGTAATTTATCGAGGAGCGAATTTCTTGTCGAGTTTCTTGATCGATTTTGGTCTCATTGTGCGATGTATCCAGCCATATAAGCGATAATGTTTCCAGATTCCGTTGTAACCCCGGACTCAGTTGATCAAACGCTATAGCCATCCAACGCTTGTTAAATAAAAAATGCACGACTCAGGAATTGAAATCTTTACTTTTCATCTTACCATTGTTTACATTTGTCAAGTTGGAAGAAACCAAAAGGTGACAGCAAACAAAATGTTTGCTTACTCTGCACATGTAATGTTGCTAAATCTATGACAACTGACGTTATTTGAATTCTGTTTCGATTCTCTCTGCTATTCAATCACAGGTGATGAAAGTCAGATTTGGGTGGGTGTGAGTGTGGATTTTCACTCGCTTCACATCAGCACCCACACCCTCGTTAATTAGTCACTCTGAAGTTGTTATGCATAATTGCTCTAAAGAGAGGGGGCGAACACACACGGTCTGTTTATGTAAATGTAATGTGTTCTTTGGCCAGACTTAATACATGAAAGAGAGAAATTATTTTGTTCCCTTTTCTTTTTACATGGTTCTCAGCACAAAAAATCTACGACAGGTTGGTAGAATAACGACTGCGCAGCTCTTGCTTGATAATTTTAATGTAAAAAAATGGGTGTCTTCGGCTGTGACTCTTTTCATTGGTTATTCCGCAGCAAAATATTCACAATATACTAGTAGGAAGAAAGCAGAGGCTAGCGTTAGCAATCACAAGAAAATTTATGTCGCTGTTTCAAAATATTTGATTAACATTTGCATGGTAGAATGTTAATCTCAGTTGATGCTCATCAAATCGTGAACAAACGTTTTACTAAACAAAACTGCGATTGAGGAGTATCACTCCCTGCTTTTTGCATAGTTTTCCTGCTTCAAAACTTATTACAAATAGAACAATCATTCGAAAAACCAGCAAATATATGTCTCATCTCGAAGATTTTCGATCG